TCAGTTTAGTGCATAGTGAGAGATAAAATCTACTTTTCTCACCTCCATTTATTCAAGAGGCTGTCTTTCCTCTAGTGTATGCTTTTGGCTTGGCCCCTTCGTTGAAGTTCAGATGGCTGAATGTGCCTGGGGTTGTTTCTGCGTCCTTTATTCTGTTCCCTTGACCTACATGGCTGTTTTTGCACCAGCTGGTCCATACTTTGTGTCTCCAAGTGTTCATAAAAAGCCCTGAGGAGACTTCACAAGTTACTGAAAATCCCCAAAAAGCCCTCCTGGGTAGGAGACTTGGTGTCTGGCTAGAAGAAATGCTCTGCTCCCAGCCCCTAGAGAAATTTTGTTTTTGTTTTTTCTCTAACTGTTCAGTTCCAAGTTTCCTATTCCTGAGGTCTCAAAAGCAATGTTAGCTTTTAAATTTTAATCTGCCTATAGTGCCTGATTAGTGCATTTTATATATGTATGGAAATGAGAAAACTTTAAAGGAGACATTTTCTTGCCTTGTAAGAAAAGGCACATCACCACTGCCACACATGTGACAATGTAATTTTGTGTGAGAATCAGGTAGAATAATGAATGTAAATGAGTTTTACAAACTGTGTCTATTTTGTGGGTTTTATATATGTTAGGCAAGTACCTTGCTGCTGAATTACATCCCTAGCCCTAAGTTTTATAAACTATAAAGTTCTACATAAATATAAATAGCTTTTTTTTTTTTTTTTGCAGTACTGGGGATTGAACTCAGGACCTTGCACTTGAGAAGCAAGTGCAGTGCCACTGAGCTAAATCCCTGGCCCTTAAATAGATTCTGTTGCTGTGATTACAATATTCATTGAGACTAAAGCTATTTTTTTATTACCTAAGTTGCAGAGAAAGTTCAGATTTCACAGTTTTCCCATGAGTATCCTTTTTGTTCAAAAGCCAGCCTTGCATTTAGTTGCCCTGTCTCCGTAGTGTCCTCCAGTCCAATTTCTTAGTCTTCCCTTGTTTATTACTACCTGGTCACTTTTGAGGGCTACTGCTTTGCAGGTGTTTTGTGGACTGTCTTTCAGTTCGGATTTATCTTTGTCTTCTGATGAGTGTTGGGAAGGGACACCTTGGATGCGAATTGCCCTTCTTGCCAAGTGGGATCCCAACATAGGTGATACTGCATGTCACTGGTGATGTCAGCCAGGGTCTCATGGCTGAGGTCATGCTTTCTGGTTTTCTCTATTACAAAGTTGCTATTTTTTCTCTTTCATACTCTTTTTCTTGCAAGAGTCCTGTACAGCCCACATTCAAGGTGAGGAGAGTTTACTTACAGAATAGAAATTGTTGTTTTGGTTTTGGTTTTTTTGTTGTTTTTTTGGTACTGGGGATCAAACTCGGGTCCTTGCACTTTCAAGGCAGGTGCCGGAACCACTGAGCTAAATCCCTGGCCCAGAAATTGTTATATTAGGGTATTTGTCCTTCTTCCCCTGGTTTTTGTTGTTTTGTGGGGGCTTGTTTTGTTTTGTTTTTTTGTCAGAAGTAGGAATTGAACCCAAGGCCTTATGCACGCTGAGCAAGTACTCCACCACTAGGCTACATTCCCCATATTCCTGTTATTTATTCATACATTATATTTACTTAAGTATGTTTGCATGCATTTACACATTTTTTTTTCTGTGTCAGTAAGGACTTGTGCATATTTTTTTGATACTTTGATTTATTATCCAGTACTACATTTTTTTGTTACTCACATTGTTCCATCGTGGCCGTTCACAGCTCACCCGGGTTGGCTCACTGTTTCTGTGATATGCTCCCATGCTTTGGGTTTTTAAAGCTTTTCCTTTCAAGGCATTCAGTATAACTTGTCCAACCTCCTAGTTCTTGATCTGTTCCTTTACCTTGGGTTTAAACCTACTTTGAGTAGTGTCTCCTTTTTGTCTTTGTGTTGTACTTAAGCAACAGCGCTTTGCTTTTTTTTTTTTTTCTTGGGTACTGGGGATTGAACTCGGGACCTTGCACTTGTGAGGCAGGTGGCGGAACCACTGAGCTAAATTCCCAGCCCCCGCTTTGCTTTTTGAAAGAGAGTGCTTTCTCTTCCCTCATAGAATGCATTCTGAAGACTTTAGATTACATAAACCTTCTACATGGCCAGAGAAATTGCTACTGAGACATTGCCTACAGAAGTAACCATACTTACCTCTGAGGCTGAGTCATTAGTTACAACATGAAGGTAAACAATCGGAGTGTACATTGAATCGTGTTGTAACTGTATTGTAAGACACTGTACAGAATTAGAAGAAACAAAACCCTTTTTACTGGGGTGTCTATCCCTTTTTTCCATTTAGAGAAAATAAAACTGAGTCTAAAATAATAAAACATAGAATTTTTTTTGTATACCGGGGATCAAGCTCAGGACCTTGCACTTGAAAGGCAGGTGCTATGCCACTGAACTAAATCCCCGGCCCCAAAACATAGAATTTTTAATACCTGATTGAAGCTTAATATAGGCAATACTGTAAGTGTTGCCATTGAAAAGTGTAATAGTTTCCTGTAAGTGTAAAGTATGCGTTACTTTTTGGGGGGAGGAGGAGACAGGGTCTTGCTATATAGTTCAGGCTGGTTTTGAACTCATTAGGGAACCCAGTCTGGCCTTGAACTTGCAGCAACCCTCCTGCCTCAGCCTCCTGAGTGCTGCTCAGCAAGTGTGGGCTACTTTTGTGGATTGAAGGTGATCTCTGGCTTCTTTAATATAATTTTCAATATATTTTAATTCAATATAATGACCAATATTTTTTAACCAAAAAAAATTATTAATAAGGAGTCTTTTGGACAAGAAATGATAGCTTTCAAAATTAAACATTCTCTCCTTAGTAATATTTATATTAGTGGGTAAGAACAGATAAATGCAATTTTATTGATTTAAATGAGAAGAAAGGCTAACAAAATTTCTTTGATTAAAGAACCTGAGTTATGGGTTTTATCTAATATGTAGGGAAAAGAATCTGTTTGACTTAAATTCACAAATGACTTACAGTTTTCAAAAAGTCACATGGAGGGCCAGGGATTTAGTTCATCAGCACCGTGCCTGCCTCACAAGTGCAAGGTCGTGAGTTCGATCCCCAGTACCAAAAAAAAAAAAAGTCACATGGAAATTACCATAATAAAATAAAATACTTCAACTAGCCAGAACTGCAGGGGTTTTTTTTGTTTTTTTTTTTTGGTGCCGGGGATCGATCTTGGATCCTTGTGCTTGCGCAGCAGGCACCAAAACCACTGACCTAAATCCCCGGCCCCACCTGCAGGGTTTTTAAGAGTTCTTTGCAAAAGACAATTCCAGTTGGTGAAATCCAGTTGTCTTAGGAGACTCCTGTGTACATAATCTACCC